AACCTTTTTACTAGAACCTAAAGTCTAAACGTTACCGTATTAATATATATTTCTAGCCACATCATTTAGTTTATAACAATGTGGCTTCATGTCTTAAGAGTGACAAATAATACAAAATCTGGAGGGAGTAAAATGGGAAGCAAATTTATCCAAATGCAAATATTAGCAAAAGGAGAATAATATTTATAAAATTTTGCAGCCAAAAAAACCATATTTCGTTTATAAGTCTGCTTTCGAGACTGCAAATTGGTCATTTATATATCAGTGTATATACACTATTTCGTTATAAGGAGACTGGCAGTTTAATTTTTCCCACAAGGATGTGAGTAGACCGGACATTGCTAATAAATTTCACATAGCCTTGCCTTCTCCAAAGGTATTGTTATCCAGGGTAGACGGCAATTCAGACCTCTCCTATATTTGACTACACGTCCAGCAGGAATCGAACCACCTTGCCACGAGTGTCCTTGGGTCACTGGACATATGTCAATTTCAAGGAAGGTCAGGTCTTTTTTCCCGTCACTTTATTTGTTGGGATTGTTGATGAACCATGGATGTATTTGATATAGCAAATTAAAAACTATAGTATGTGTAGGGGCAAACTATTTATTACCAGTCAGTTTCTGATGGAGTCCAAGTATCTCTGAATAGTGGGTTGAGTATAAGCTGTTCTATGTAATCACTTTAAGGAAACATTAAAGAAATACTAAAATTGGACCGTGCGATATGAAATACTGATGTATTTAATTAGGAAGAGAGACCTCATGCTTTTAACCTGTTAACGCGCTGGTAGAGATAACGTTGTTGACTGATTCATGACGACTTAAGCTAGAGATAGCACGAAACAAATGGCCGTAAATAGACGAGAATTACTAGAAATAGGGAGATTGATACATTTTTATCCATTAACAATTTCCAAAGCAAGTCGATAGTTTTCTGAATGAATTACCGAATAATTTACCCTACTTTTAAGAGTTCTTTAAAAATGGACTTGATAGGCTAAAAATGGGTCAAGCGAAGCATGATGGAAAAGTTAGGCATATTAAATAAGGATGGATAGATTGTTGGTTGAGAGTTAAAGTTAAGACACGAACATAGGCCAATTAATGAGATAATTTATTTGAGTAATGCATATTGTAAGAGGGGGAAATTGGCGAATTAATAAAGTATGGCAAGAGCATGCAACAACCCGAAAGAGGAAATAATTAAAGCTCAAAGGACAGCTGAAGCACATAGGGAGACCTAGAATAAGGCGCAGACAAATGCACTTATTGGAAATTTTGTATTTCATAAAAAAGGTGTTTGGCCAGAGGCGGAGGCTAGCAGCTCCAATCAATGAACTTATGTTAGAGCCAGTTTATGAATAAGATCGAATCTTGAAAATAAAGTCAGGCATCGAGAATCTTATACTCGAGAGACTAGTGAAAGATTGAGTTCTTAAATAAAGAGGACGTCAAAGGATATAAGCCCTGAATATTCACATGTAAAAATACCGTAAGAATGGTTTAGATGTGAATGAATAGATTGTGCAGAAAATCAATAAAAAAAGGAAGTGAAGTGATTATTATGGGATTAAATGGTAAAAATAAACTTATCCGGGGTCACATAACTGTACTGGATGAAAGAAACTCTCGCATGATAATATTGATAAGAGCGGCATTATCTTTTAACATACTAAAACTGGACCTTTGTAGCAATAGTGCTAATAATAATTGTTTTTTTATAGTCAACATTGGATAGAAGCGAAATTGTTTACGTTCATTTTATCTAAAGAACGGAAAAAGTGTACATTGAGTTGTCCTTTTGTCCATGAATTATGTTAGAATAATCCAGAGCTTTTAACCACTAGTATTTAATTGACAGCAGAATAGATCACTAATGAGAATCTCTTTATATTGAATTCAAACAACAATAAACTAAAGTGACAGTTTGATTAAACACAAATAGATAATCTAATTATAACCTATACCCAAAACTATGAAAACTATTTTTGTCTTCTGAGCTTATTTTCGCACTTGGTCATATTGGCAGGAAGGTCTATGGCGGTACTTGTCCGGAGTACATAGTATGCATGATAATGTCCAAGTTCGGACAATGGACTTGATATGTTGCCAGATGTTTTTCCTCCATCCTCACTGAGTCTTGCCATTCTTAGCACCACGCTACACCACGTTAAAGAGACAATTGAAGTCAATCCTTCGACCAATTTTTTCTGTCCTGTTCTCTTCACATGTTCTACACCCTCGTATTAAGTCTTCTTTATCACTTCTTACATGCAAATTAAAACCTCTTAACCCAAAGAATCCGTCTCTATATCTCCATGGTTTAATTATTACACTTGGTCGCTGTCACCATATTCGCATTGCTCAAGGCGTGATATTATGTTTTCTGTCTCAAGTCTTTGATAGCACGTATACACTAACCCCACTTAACAGGACCCATAAAGTTTGGATTATTAAGCTAGATGGAAGAAAACTTTGAGACTATAGATCTCCTTATTGTTTTCGACATGTGCACCGCCTAATTCTCATGGACAATACTTTTCTCCATTGACCACGTCTATGATCAAGCCAACTAGCTTCAGTATCTGCTAAATCTATTCATAATTCCAAGTCTATGATTTCTTCTTCCCTAGTCTCTTGTGTGACAACCACTATATATTATGGTTCTACTTTTTTTGACTAGACTCAGTGTAGACGTTGATAGGACAATGATTTGACAGAAAGTAGATTAATAATTTCTTTGACGAGTGGTAGCTTGCTGCTACGAATGTCAAGACTTACTGACAATGGCGGAAAATGGTTTGGGAATGTACTAGATTCACGTTCCAACACTGGAAATATGATAAGTAAAATCCCAGAGGACTTTGTACAAGGTGTGTCAAAATAGGTCGCCTTGACAACACGAACAGGTTGCGAATATGAGGTAACTTCATTCCCATATTGCGAAAGGAGACTGCGACCCAGAGGACACAGTAACTTATTCGCATTTTATTTATAAAATTCATTGGAAATGTCCCATTTTTTGGATTGAGACGATGAGAGGCAATCATCACAAATTAAAAATACTTTGGCAGTTAATTATATAATCACGAAACTTATGAGTTCCAAAGTTTAATATACTAATGAATTCTGACGAGCAAAATTATAAACAAACTTATTTTTGCCTACATTTTATTCTTGTAACTATAACTTAATCCTTGCAATATTACCTATATTTCGGGTTTATAGCACTTTGCAAATTATGATACTAATATTTCCTTTTATATTAATATTTTTGACGATTTTTATTGACTTGAACTACTAAATTATGCACCTCGATAGTGACGTCTATGCTGATAAACAATTGTATATATCCATCAGATCACTTTTGTATATAAATGTTATAAGAAACCCTGATGGATTAATATTAGGTTTATTTAAAATTTTATTAGCACAATAAAGATTAAACAAAATTTACGATTTAAATGTTAAACAACATATCTAGGTTGTTTAGTCAAATAAAACGTCTTCTAATTATTCAGTTTACTCTACTTTTCTCTGCGCGTTTTATGTGCCCCTTGTGGCCAGGTTATTATTGATGTGATTGCATGCTAATCAAATTAATCTTACTAAGGTATTTTTACACCATATAAACTATGGATGTATTATTTACATACATTATGCAAAATAATATGATTTTATCCAAGTTTATAAGATTTTGTTCGTTCTATTACACTTCCATGTATTTTGTATTCTTGGCAAAATCCACAAATGAATTAATTTAATCATGATTGCTACTTCACACTTAATTCTTATAATAATCGAACTCATATAACTATAAGAACGTTTTAGCATCTTTGACTCAGATACTGCATGACCTTTCGGATTCGATCTCTATTATATTCTTTATTTATCATATGATTCAAGTTAAAATTTCTCGTCAATATTTCCTATATAACACCTCTTAGCGTATTATATATTCTATGTGCGATATTCCTTTAGTTTATATTTTCCCCAGATGGGAATAATCTATAACCGTTTTCACTAGATATATTTTTATTCCCACCGACTATATTTAACAACATCTAATTTTCCTTTGAATATAGTGTAGATAAAATCTGGATGGTTTTGACCGAGTCATTTTTGGCTAAATTCTGCTCTATCTTATCGTAGACAAGATGGTTATATATATAAATCATGGTTAAAATTAATTAATTCAATTATGTTATTTGGCTACTATTTTAGTTATTAGTTTACCAGATATATTTATATAACTTGCAAGCATCCACTGTGCAGGATTATCTCCTTCGCGGCTGGACAAAACACCTCTAAGACCTCATTGACTTACGACATAAAGTGTCACAAAACCTGCAAAATCTAGTAAGCTATGTACAGGTTTTTTGGTAATTTGTATATGTAAACTATTGTGGTTTATAATCTTCAAAAACTGTATTTAGGATAGAGGTTGTTTGACCTTGTTTTCGCAACTTGGTCATATTGGTAGAAGGACTTAGAAGAACGCGCCTAGTCTGGAGTACATTGCATGCATTATCATTTCCAAAGTCGGACCGTGGACGTAGTACATTTCCAAACATTCGCCGGCATCGTCAGTGAATCTCGCCATTCTTAGACCACACAACAACTCGTAAAAGAGACTTGGGATACACCATTTTGGCATTTTTGTGGCTTAAATAACGTCTTCTCTGAGGTTAAATTATTACATAAGCCACATTACTTACTTCTTATCTGGAGTCCTTGATGTTTTTAACCCATTGTCTTATATTTATAGGGCGTTTGGTAACTCGTATGGGCTACACTCAATATTTAAGTTAATATAATTAGCATTGTTTATTTAGCCTTTAAGCCCATTTTTAGAATTCTTTCTAAAACTCTCATCTGCATTTAGTCCATTTGTATTAGCTGGTTCTCATTTATAATTTTTCAAAAATTCAATGGCAGGATCCAATGGCAATGATCGTTTTCTTTACCACACATAGATAGGAAATGAAGACACTTCGGATGATATCCACACATTTTATCCATTATTTAACTTATTGTTTCGACTATTTTCTCAATACTTTTAATATAAGCAAATTAATAACCGATGCTATCTTTTGTTTCATCCACTTCATATCATAATCTAATTCGTTTTTTAAATCTCCAGCTATTTCAATGATGAATCAATCCAATCTTAAGGTTTCTGTGCCCATCTCAGTTTTGGTGACATTATTCGGTCTCGGGTCATGGTGCATTGTCAATGGCCTATGGGTTGAATTGCCAGAACTAGTTGAAGCATTGCCAGAAGGATGGAATTTGCCTACTTATTTATCCCTGATAATTCAAGTGAGTACTTTAATAGAATCCTGACTTCATCAAATTAAATAATTTTTGTTTTTATTAAAGTGATACCCATTATTTTTAAAATTAATTCAATGTTGTGATTGTATTTTTGAATGTACTTTTACTCCCATTGAATTTTGGTAAGAAATTAACCTTAGTGACTTTTGTGGTTTGCTTGTATATTATGTGGTATTATTCGCTGGTCACGAAAAATAACTATACTTTGACATTCAATTCATACCGTTATTTATCCAAAGTACTCTTGTTAAGGTAACTAAGGTTGTTATTTTAGTTATCTTGCGTCCTCGTTTCGTGTCTTAATTATTGTCGAGGTAAATCACTTCATTACTTTATTTGGATCAGGAATGTCTGTAGCTTTGCATTGTCCTAACTACATATAGAATCGTGACTAAAGAAATGATGATCACTGATTATAAATATAGCCTTGGCTATTCTTTTATTAAAAATTTTACAATTGCATCGAGGAGATTCTTTGATTCAGGATGAAGTGGCTTGTGTTTATTAAACGAAAAATAAGTATAGAAGTTGTTTGACCTTATTTTCGCAACTTAGTCACATTGGTAGTAAGACTTAAAGAAACGTACCTAGTCCGGAGTCCATTGTATGCATGATTACTTCCAAAGCTCGACCGTGGATGTGGTACTTTCCCAGACATTTCGCCGGCATCGTCAGTGAGTCTCGCCATTCGTAGCACCATAGTACAGCTCGTCAAAGAGACAAGTGCAATCGATCCTTTGACCAAACGTGTGCTTAACAGTTGTGGTATCTTCCCTTCTGCTCTGGGTTATTCACATTTCCTATATCCTCCTATAACGCCTTCCCTGTCACAATTTTTTTACCGTGCTTATTTTGATGTAGTGTGGCGTGCTCTTTCGAGCGGCATTCATAAAAACCCTTCACATTCCACGCTGTCGTTCTCACCCCCTTCACCCTTCTGTTGAGAATGTTAACCAGAATGTCATATTGTTGCGTAGTCCTTCCCTGGGTCCTATCAGAGTCTTCTCTTGCTCCGTAGCTATCTCCCTGGTACAGGTATTTCACTCGACCCCTGTCTCCCAATCTGTGCTACTTGAGGCGTTATTCGCCCACTCCTGCGTCTGGGTGACTAATTTGAGGCTAAAGCTTCTGCGTAAGTTTCATGGTCATGCCCTTGCTACATGGACCAAGTATCTTGTAAAACCTACCGTCAGCCAACTAGCTCCAATTGCCGTCTCGTCTATCCTTTCTCTATCCCTAATACCAAGTATATGAATTGCCATGCCCTAGTCTCTCGTGTGCCAACCCACAAATGTTGTGGTACTGCTTGCTTTGATTAGGTTCAATTATTAACCACAACGTTTGTGGGTTTTGCTCACAAGAGATTAGTGCATAGGAAGTCATAGACTTGTAATTATAGATAGAAAGAGGAGAAAAACAGTGGAAGCTAGAGCTAGTTGGCTAACAATAGTAGTGATTCAAAAATCACGTGTATGATCAAACAGGTCTATTGTTAGCCAAATAGCTTTAGTCTCCATCGTGTTCTTCCTATTTCTATCTGTAATATCTTGTCTATTACTTCCTACGTCCTAGTCTTTTTCGTGCCAACCCAACAATGTTGTGGTTCTACTTGTTTTGATTAGGCTCACTGAAGACGTCTCCACTTTGCTTCTGATTGTTCCTTTCTCGTCCTGCGATCTCTTTTCCTAAAATTAAGGATATTTCCTTGATCCAATCGTCTTCTTTTTGCTCATCTTACTGTTGCCTGGTCTTCTCCGACTTTGTTTAGACAATATGCAAAGATTTCGCTGATCCTGCCTTCTTTAAGTCTCCTGTTTATTCGATTTATCTCGGTCAGTATTTGGATGGCTTTTTGGATCTTGCGTTTTCTTGTATTTTCACCATATGCAGCTAACCTTTCAGTCGATTTCGTACCTTGTTCGTGAAATCTGTTCCGCTATATCGGATCTGTTCGTATCCATGTTTATGCATAGTCTTTGATGTTCCTTGATGCGTAGGCTGATTTTTCTTCCTGCTTCACAGACATACTTATGCTTACAGTTGCCGCATTTGATGCGATAAACTCCCGAGCAATGAAGTTTGTCCGTCTTCTCGTGTTGCGTCGGCAGACCGGTGAAACGTGTTTTCTTCTCCTTTGTTATCACCTTTATATTCAATTTCCTTAGTAACGGTCGCAATTGTTGGTTCAGTTCTGATAAGGACAGTCAAATCAACTTTTGGTTGTCATCCTGATTGCTTATCTGATTTTCATAAAATCCAAATTGAAATCGGCCCTTTATAACCTCCAAATTTTTTTCTATAAATTTTATGGTGTAAACGCCACTAAGGCAAATCCGTGTCAGTTTGTCCAACTCCTCGTCCCAGAACTCATTGTCCGTTAATCGTAAGCTTCTGATGATCAAACTCCTCAGTATTCCGATCTTTAGTTTGTAATTATAGTGAGACTGAAAATTAAGGATTATTCCCGCATATGAATTCTTTCTGTATAGTCTTTTCATGTGTCGCTTTGGAGCGCATGACTTCAATATCCAGAAAGAGTAGTCGTTCATCTTCCTTCATCTCCATTGTGAATTTAATTCTTTAATAAAGTTGGATAACGAAATTGAGGAATTAATTTTAATTTTCCTTACCATGTGACCACAACATGTGCCACAACATTTGTGGATTGGCACATAAAAGACTAGGGTATAGGAAGTCATAGACTTAGTATTAGGGATAGAGACAGGATAGACGAGGCAGCGATTAGAGCTAGTTGGCTGACAGTAGGTTTTACAAGAGACGTGATCCATGTAGCAAAGGCATGACCATGAGATTTACCCAGAGGCTTTAGCTTCGAATTAGTCACCTAGACACAGGGGTAGGCAAATAACGCCTCGAGTAGCACAGATGGGGAGACAGGGATCGAGTGAAATACGTTTACCAGGGGGATAGCTACGAGTAAAGAGGGAGACTCTGATAGGACCCAGGGAAGGACTACGTAACAATATGATAGACTCTGGTCAACATTCCCAGCAGAAGGGTGAAGGGGGTGGGACGACAGCGTGGAGTGTGAAGGGTTTTCATGAATGCCGCTCGAAGGAGCACACCACACTACATCAAAATAAGCACGGTAAAAATTGTGACAGGGAAGGCGTGATAGGAGAATATAGCAAATGCGAATAACCCAGAGCAGAAAGGGAGATACCACAACTGTTTAGTACACGTTTGGTCAAAGGATGGGCTTCACTTGTCTCTTTTACAAGCTGTACTATGGTGCTACGAATAACGAGATTCACTGACGATGCCGGCGAAATGTCTGGGAAATAATCATGCATACAATGGACTTCGGACTAGGTACGTTCCTCTAAGTCTTCCTACTAATGTGACCAAGTTGGTAAAACAAGGTTAAACAAGTTCTATACAACGAAACGAGACTGCGACCACACCCTATCTTGGTCTTCATACCTTCTAAAAATAAATATGTTGTTAAATTTTATAGCAAATATAACTTTGATTCGTCAAAAATCCCATCTTATAAATGTGATAGCGGAAAGGCCTAGGCATCCTTGAGGTGCACTTCTGCCCTATGACCCAAGTGCATTGGTGGAAGTGTAGTGTAGTGGTTCACGTGTCGAGTCTACGTTGCACTATCCTGATTCAAATCTCGCTGTGTGCTGATGAAACCTTAACAAGAAAGAAGATGCAGTCCATTTTGCATGTAAATACCTTTTGATAAGCGAGGCCAAGTGGAGTTTAATGAAAAGTAAGACATTATATTACTTTAGTAAAATTAATTTGTCATTCTTTCAGCATGGTGAATTCCGCTCTTTCGAATGGCATCATCAAACCATGCTTATTTGAGCGCCAACTTAACCGTGATTTAAAAGTGACTGCTACATTTGATTGGATCAAAATAGTAACCGTTAAACTAAAATAAGTGAATTTAAAACTTTAGGCTCGAAAATGATTCTTCATTTATTTACTTATATTTAAATTTGTTTTAATATCTAACTCTGGCTACAGTTGTGGTATGATAAACCAAACCACTTTAGCAGTTTACGAGGGCGTTTTTATCTTCTAAGACTTAGTGCAAATAGCAATATCTACTTCCTAACTGCCTCTAAGACCCTTTTATAATTTGTTTTTCAATTCTCACATTTAAATGGCTTTCTAAAGGCATACTCCACATATTTTACATATATACTAGACAGTTTTACACTCATATCTGTCTTGCTAATTTTGGCGATGATCTGCCAGAAATCCTTTCAGCGTCAACCTGCTGCTACATATGTTTTTTTTAGAAATGCATCCTTTCATCTATAGAACTATAACTTCATTAGAATATTGGTCTGGCTTAAATTTTAGAGTTCAAACTTTTCTTTTTAATTTCGATTTTCC